GCATGTGGTCACAGTGATCTCTTGTGCTCACACTCACACATAAGTGTCAGACTTGTCTTTCCCCAGAAAAGTCCAAAACAAAGTGGGAAAAACCCTGGCAATGTTCTTTTTGATAGATATACAAGGAACTGTTTCCAGAAGGAGGAAAGTTTCAGGATCAACAGCAAAAGTAGGCAAAAAGCACCAGGGTAAGGAAGAAACAAATGCAAATAAATTTACATTTTTATATGTAGATCTATTTTCTATGGCATCATTATAGCCCAGAACGTATAAGACCACAGCAGACTATAATCCACAATTTGAAGCAATTCACTGAGACCTTGCACAAAGACCATTTTTTCATGTCAGGCAAATAATCCTAAGCAGTAACAAGGCCAGTAAACTAAACTAAATGGCAGACAATTTCCTGCAAATCATAACCCAGATGCCATTTTTGGATGTCACTAAAACATCACTGGCATAAATTTAACTTGTTCATATAGAAGTGTATGTGTCTGGACATGCCAAAACAGCCCTCCTAGTCCACCCCTTAAGCATGCAAGAAAATCAGAGGTTGCCTAATGTCAGACTCTTGTCTGTCAAGAATCAGGGTGTTAAACACAGAGTAGAATCTAGAAATTAAAGCACAGTAGTTGAAAATTATCTGATCTTTATCACTGTATTTATTTTTCTCTGGCAGCATTCTTCAACGTAATTTTTTTTTCTAGATGAAATACTGTTTACAGTGAAATCTATGTTTCATATGCTATTTCTGCCTTCTTGAAAAGCCTCTACTCTTGCTGAGACTAACCTATATTAAACATGCATCAAGTTTCAGCACAATTCATCCCCAACACACTTGTCTCCAAACTATTTTGGGATATTTGAGAATGACAAGATTTCAAGGTGGAAGGACAGAAGAAGTAATGGAATCACAGAATTGTTTGGGTTGTAAGGGACCTTCAAAGGTAATCTAGTTGCAATGCCCCTGACACGGGTAAGGACAACTCTTACTAGACCAGGTTGATCAGGACTCCATCCAACCTGGCCTTGAACACTTCCAGGGACAGGGCATCCACAGCTTCTCTGGGCAGCATATTCCAACTCCTCACCACCATCTCCCTAAATAAATGCTTCTCAGAATCTAATCTAAACCCATCCTCTTTCACTTTAAAACCATTTCCCCTTGTCTATCACTATCTGCCTGCATAAAAAGGTCACTCTCCCTCTTGTTTATAAGCCCCCTTTAGGTACTGGAAGGCTGCAATGAGCCTTCCCTGGAGCCTTCGCTTCTCCATGCTGAATCCAATTCACTCAAACCATCTGCATAGGCAAGGTGCTCCAGCTCTCGGAACATCATCAAGGTGTTGTGCTTCTGCACATTTCAAATCAGTCTATGACCAGAAATAACTGTGGGGTTTATGTCATGCTTTTCCCACAGCATAGCAAAGCATACCTAACTAATGTGTCCAACATTTTTGTTGCAGAGTCTACCCTCTAACAGTATAAAAAAACCCAAAAATGGAAGCATGATTATTTTTCCATGAACAGCAGCCAACTGCTGTCCTAATTTACAAACTGACAAGTTCCTCTATGGAATACATTGCTAAGATAATTTACCAATATGTCAGAATTTATACAGGATTTAGTTATGTACTATCTTTTGTTTCTGTAGTTTCCAAACCATTACTCCTCCACTAGGATATTTTTCCATATTTCAATTTGTAAGTTTCAGCAGTAACACAACTACTTCTAGTTGCACTACACAGTTCATCCCCCCCACCTGAGGAATTCTATGGCAAGCATCAGCTTTGACTAATTCTTTAAAAGAACAAGTTTCCAACAACATTGGTTCTCCCCCACAATTGATTACCTTGCTTTTGACCTTGGTAAAAAAAACTAAGTTTTAATTCATCATGGCTTAAGGTAAAGTAGACATTAAAAACTAAGATTGGATGCCACAGAACTACTATCCTCTCTGGAAAGCAGGAGCTCAGAGACTCCTTTTCACAGCTATAATAAAGCTTTTGAATAGCAGTGTATTTATCATGCATTTATTACAATGCAGCTGCATATTTAGCAAGCTAATGATATCCTGGTGAAATGAAACCAGAGTAACACATTCAACACCTGTATTTGTCTAGAGACAGCAAACAAGACTGATAATTTTTTGACTCTAGAGATTGTCCTGATTAAATGTGAATTAGGGAGAACCTATCATAGGCTTGATAACTTTAAATTAAAGTCTTTTATTTTTAGGTTTGAATGGACACAATTTGGTTTATTGTTTAGTACCATAGAGAGTCAGACTACTTGATTTGTTTTTTTAACACCTGCTTTGCTTTTCAGCTTTAGAGAAGCTTTAGACACTCTGTGGTATCTTGCTTACCTTCCAGACTGAAAGCTCTTCCACGTGCCACATCACAGTGAATTATGTCAGCATGTACTGACTAGAAGTGACACAGGTCTGTATAGATCAGACCAAAAGCTTTGTTGTTATGCTCAAAGGACACCAGGTGGTGGTGTAAGGCTCCTTAGTAGCATATTTGCATTCCTTACATTGTGGCATTCACATTGTCTTTCTCTCCAGGCTACCTTCTCTCCTCCAAAATGCACTGCTAAAAGCTTTGTGACAAAAATTGTAACACTAGACCTTGGAAAGTCCAGCCAACATGTTTCTGGCAGTATTCTCAAGTGTGTATCAGCAAGAAGGGGAAGCTTAGGTAAGCCAAGCATACATAAGCACTTTTTCCTGAGCAGTGTCCCTGATGCCAGACAGAAGGTAAAAGTGGTGTAACTCCAAGTCATCTGGATTATTCCAATCTACTCCATGCCCCAACCTGACCCTAAGAAGTATTTAATAAGCTTTACCAGACTACTATTTAGTGAAAACAGTCTGGTACAAATCCCACTCTACCAGCTTAAAAACTAGACATGGCATTCTTAATATTTAAATTTGACACACTCTGATAAAGTTTTCAGGAACATTCCTATTACAGTCCTGTATTCACAAACTATCAAAAAGCTTTTAGAACTTTAGGGAAACAGTGTCATGGTTAATAAGGCTTCACAACATGAGCCATTTACTTTCCCCTTTTTTCATTGTTTTATGCTAAACCCATAATTTGCAAACTTTGTCCTGTTCAGCCACACAGTTCAGAAACAAAGGCTATTCCTACTTCTAACACAACATTCCTATACAAGATACAGATCCACCACATTAGACTGCAAAGCCTCTGGGTAGAGTGTTTGAAGAGTTTAACTGTAAAGGCATAAGGACATCATAATTCAGGGCATTCACAAAGCTCCTTAGATAATTGAGAATTCCCCATAACATAACAGCTACAGAAAAGTCTACTACTAAAGAACTTTGAGAGCAAGAAATCAAGTCAGGTATATATTAACTGACTTTTTTCAACATGCAAAGCCAACAAATTCAATCTGTGAAATAATTTCATTACTTCTGCCAATGAATTCTTGATATAAATTAAATAATTGGGCAAAAGATAAATATCTGCACCTGACACTTTCTTTCTCTAAAGAAAAATTTTCTAATTAGATGTTAGTTTCGATTTTCATACAAAAGTTATGAGTATTTTAAGGAATGCCCAATTTTTTTACTGTGTTACACCACTCACATTTGCAGGTGCAGAGCACCTTTTCATGGCCTGTTACAACTACCTGGCACAGCAGTGTCATTAGGGTTTGTGCTGAAATTTACTGTCACTTGGCACCTCCAGTGCAATACACAGATTCCCTGGAATAGGAATTGACAAAGGGGAAAAACTGCTGCTGTTTGCAACTCTGCCTACAAGGGCCAGCAGGCCAAGAGATGAGATGTTCTCATGAGAGTGCCTGGTAAAAATGACAGATTTCTATATTAACTCCATAGGTCAGAAGTTCAGTGCAAACTCTGAAAGAGCATTTAAACCAAAGCAGTTGTTAGTAGCTCAAATAATTTTTAATAATTCATCTGTTTTCTGCACTCTTCCTGATGCATTTCTTTGAATACTTCAGATTTACACTTGCCAACTATTATAAACTATAAAGCCTTCTTGTTACAGCTAGCTTCAAGCTGAAAACAAAATTAAAATCTCATCCAATAAAACTCTGATAACAGCAGGCCCACTGTTTTAATGACTAAAATTAAAAGCTTTATTCATATTGCAAAGCAGTGAGAGACAAGATGGAGTCAGCACTGTTCTGGCAGGCTCTGCACTAACACAACAGGAAAGAAGCCTCTACACAAAAGACTGACAAGTCTAAACCATTAGGGGAATGTTTTTAGAAGTCTGGGGCAGAGAATCCCACAGCCTGAAGGAATATTGGCTAGTGCAGAGGAAAACAAGGGAGAAGTCAAGTGAATCCACTCTTATACAGAAGGTAAACATTTAGCAGAATCCACGTAGGAGACAGTTTTTGGTGAAAATACTTCAGTGAACACTGATTTAAAGCAAATATAAGATATAGAATTCATAGGTTTTTGAAGAAATATTGTGCTGAAACTCCTGTAAAAGCAAAGCAGATCCAGAAATTCATCCTACTTTACAAATGAGTACCATTTTCATAGTACTTTCAACATGTTCGACACTTCCTCTACCATATGACTCTACATGCTAAAATATTATAATTCCAGCTTTCCTCATGTGATTAATCAAGCATTTATTTTCAGTCTCTAGAAGGATTTCAAGCTGAAATGTAGGGTTTAGACCCAGACTGAAAAAAAAAAATCATAAATAACTGGAAAAAATGATTGCTATATTAACTAGGTAGGTTGAGTCTAACTCCAGCAATTAAAAGGATGAAAATGCTGAGATGGGTACTTGCCCTTATCATTCCACAGCCTGAAAAAAGTAACCATCAAGTTGAAGTCCATTTAAAAAGCATGAAAGATGAATAATGAGGGTGAGAGAAAAAGCACAAGGACAGGAAAGCAAACATGTATGTGAGAATGAACACACAGGCATGCCCTTACTGTCATGTATCAGAAATAAATTGCCCGAAAAGCAGCAATGACTAACCTCCACATTTTAGTGAAACTGTGCATCAGGCTCACACAGCAAGGCAGAGCTGGAGGTTTGAGTCCATCCATTTGAAGGAGGAGGCCAGGAACCCCATACAGAACCAGATACTTCACATAAAAAAAAAGTACTTGAGCTAAAGCCAGGCCACCTAAAAGAAAAAAAAAAAAAGCAAACAACAAAACATACCTTAAAAAAGTCCTGAAACATTTAAAAACCTGTCAATACTGATTACCTCCAAACAGCAATTATTCCAAGAACTAAGGCAAGCACCATTGCTTGATGGGATACACAACATTTCTCTTCACAAGAGACACAGCACACAAGCCCATGCATTTATGACATCAGGCAAATATACAAAATGTGTACCATCATTCCAGCATGAAGGCACAAATCTGCATCTGTAGTTTCACTCTCAAAAATCACTGAACTGTGGGTGTTGACTGCCATGAAAAAAACCAACTGACTTATGTTGAGCTAAAAGTCAGAATATACCAATATAAGCAACGCACATTTACCACAGGGACAGTAAATTTATCTTTGCAAAAAAAAACCTAACCAACCACTCTACATTTGTTGCTCCAGAACAGCCATAAACAATGGTTATAGCTGCATGTTATCCTGACATCCCCACAAACATTCCATGCCCCGTCAGATTGACTCACCCAAAAAAAATACCCCTACTGATGCCTTGTGAAGGCTGACCTGGAACAGAGACTAGACAGAGTTAAAGAATAAAGTAGGTATTTATTAAAAGGCCTCAATGGATACACCTTGGGCAGTACAAGAGCCCAGCCAGGGCTACATCCAAGATGCACCCAAAATGGTCATGAAATAGATGACTGGTCACAAGGTCTCTCACTTTTATAAGTTCTGGTCCATTATCATATTGGAGTTAATTGTCCAATTATAGCTTTAGGTTATGAAGTCACATCCTTCTTGTTCCTCTCTTCAGTCCACAGTGTTTATGCTCCTGGGCCTGAGATTTGGGTACTTTGGTCCTTGGTCCCAAGCTAGGAAAGGAATTGTTTTGTCAGCTGCTCTGTAAAAAGAGCTTACCATCCTTTAATGTGAAGCTCAGAACTGCACACAAATGCAGTACAGAATCTAAAAAATATCAAAGCTAAAACCTAAGGCATCACTACAAGATGCCCTTCTGCTGCATCCAAGGCATAGAAAACTGGAACTCCACTTGGCATAATGCTTAAAGCATATTTCAGATTTTAAACGCACAAAGGTCTCCTTAAGGTCCTGTAGCTGCCCTAATTCCAAAGTAGAAATTTCATCACTGTGCTTGCTCACAATCTCAGGTTATGACACAAACTCCAGCATCTTACACAGATCTGAGATGAAAATCAAGTAACAACCTTCAAATGCATTATAAAGGAAGATGAGTCCTACTAACATTCTAAATGTTCTTTGTTGAAAAAAGTGGTATTGACCAATAAGTAAAAATACAGTAAAAAGCAGAGGCCAACACCTTTAGAGAAACTGGTGAGGTCAATTCTCAAGGACCCAGCGACTTGGTGAACTTCTCCATCTGACAGTTGACATATGGAAGATCTCACCACAAAGAAGGAAAACTAAAATTATACTTCAATACAGAAAAAAATTATAAAATGCAATTGTTACATCTCCTTCTACTCCAGTGCTCTGCTTTTGCTCAGCTATATTACCTAACTTGACTGAAGGACTTTAGACATTCAACACAATTTTAAAGCCTTCCAGCAGACTGTCCTTGGAGACAAAGTTTTTAATCTGACTCCAGCAGTACAACTCCATGAACATTTAAATAACCTGTCTTTTTTTTTAAGGGGTGGGGCAGGGGGAACATCTCTATTGCATTCTGCTGACTAATGAAAATACTATGGATGACAACCAAAAGCTAAGCATTAAAAATTAATCTACTGTATAACAACCTAGAGTGAAATTCTGGCACTAATAACGTAAAATGCAAAGTTCATGCTGACCTACACATGGCCACTATTTTGCTACAACAATCCAACATTTTTAGTTCTGATATCATAATCCATGCACATGATAAGAAACAGTTGTGCCATACAAGATAAAAACTGATGTTAGAACAAAATACCCAGATATGAAGCTTATGTTATTTTACTTCAGGGAAGCAGGCATCAAGTATTCAATAACATTTTTCCCCAGAGGAAAACAAACAATCAGAAGCACAATTTGGATACTAGCCAATTAGCTCCACATTAGATTACTGCTAAATCATCTGTACAGCCAAATTTCTGCTTTAATTCCCTTCTCATTCAGTGTCTCATTTCTTTTCTGACAAATTTCATTGGAGAACTGAATACTGACACCCACACAAACCAATTATGAAGATCACAGCTGTCTGTGGAGTAGTAAAATTCAAAATCCTTTGGCTGTGCTTGATGGAAAGGTATTTAGAAACAGGCTTCCACTCTGAGACCCAAAAAAATCAATAAATTCGATTTTAAATATAATGATGAAATATTGAGTTCATGGATAAGAAGTCATACTATTCAAGTTGAGGAAAAAAAGGCATTTTCACCATCCCAAATAACACACATCTTGGTTGCCATTACTGTAACTAACAGGCAGCTCAGGAGCACTGGCATCCTAAACACAGACATCATATCATAGTCACACCTAGCACACAGGAGCTACTCTGCGAGGGGCAACTCTAAGACTCACAAAAACAGCAACACAAAGGTCCCTATCAAAATACACAGCTCAAGTTCTCATTGGTCTTGAGCTCATGCCAGCAGTAGGAAAGTTCTGGCCACGCTGGGAAAACTAAGGGCAAGATTCACAGCCACACAATAGCTGGGCTGCACTGGCAACAGGCACAGGCTTTAAACCTTCTTGCATGCCTAAGACATTCCTGCTGCTTTGCATTTGCTTCACTCACTTGCACAAAGGAGCCAGAAGCAAACTGCTTCACCTGATTTAGAAGCATGAAATTAACAATCAAATTCATTAACAATATCACATAATTTATTCTCTAATGCTTGATATAATAATTCCTCCACACACATGAGCATTATTTTAAATTGGAAACAAGCCATATCAAATGTATATTATAACACACCTAAGAGGAAAAAAACAATGCCAAGATTCTATCTTTTCTCAATAATAAATTAATTCAAAGGATTCAAAGTTCAGATTTTTTTTTTAAACAGAATGCGTTAAGGGATAAAATATCAAGGTAAAGTATCCGATCTTAATACCATGCATTTCAACAGTCAAGGTGTTTGATATCCCAGACTAAAGCAATTGACTTTTATAGAAGTTGGTATTTTCAATGTATCATTTCCCAATCCTTAAAAAATTCTAAGTTTTCCTATGCTTTAAAAATGTATTTATAGACCTTCCGATATTTTTCTTAACCTTAAGTTTACTGCAAAACTGCATTTCCTAAGTTTCACAGAGCTTTGAAACAAAGATCATGACAAATTAGAATATTCACATTACTTAATTTTAGTCAACACATTCTCAAAATTCTGACTAGTAGTTTTTGACAGAAGTTAGCAAATAGAGTATTTTCATAAGCAAGCAACAAAATGTTTGCATCTAGATATTACAGATCACACTTGACATTTTTCTGTCCTTAAGCCAACACCAAAAGTCATGGTCAACTGAAACTTAGAAGGCAATTTCATTATCAGCATAGCATCACAACTTTACCCTTTTTGCAGCTACATTGACCCTATGTCATTAGTGATTGTAGATGTTTCTTTCTGTCAAGTACCAGGAGGGGTTCCACTAAAAAGAGATAAATGTGCAGTCACATTTCAAAAGGGTTACTGACACGTGGCAGAAATCTAATGGGAAGCAGACATTTATAACAGCTCAGAATGTGGGGCCATATCATCAAGTTCAAAATAACTCAGCCTTCCACCAGCACACAAGAAGCAAGAAATTGTGAATGGAGTAGTGGCAGAAAAGTACCACAGTGTTTGTCCTGGATGCTAAGTGCTTATTTTTAAAGAAAGCTGAATGAACATAAAGGTTCCAAAGTGAAATTACTTAAACAAGACTGAACAGAACTGTCAAGGGACTTGCAGTCAAGGCATAGACAGGTCTTCCAAGTTAAAGTAAACCAGAAGGCTTTTCAAGCACACACATGCTTTAAAGACACCTACCATGAATACTCCCAAGGACTTAGAGAAACTTGGTCTAGTGGAAGGAATGCCCATGGCAAAGGGGTTGGAATTAGATGATCTTTAAGGTCCCTTCCAACCCAAACCATTATATGAAAACACCTACTGTAAGCACTATGTTCAATAGTAAATAGTTGCAGGAAAAGACGCTCTAAATAAAGAGTTATCACATTGCACTGGTTTTTACTGGGATAGTTAATTTTCTTCACAGTGGCCAGTGTGGGGTTGTGCTTTGGATTTGTCCACAAAACATCATTGCTGAAAGCAGAGAGATGCTTTTGTTACTACAGGGTTTAGCGAGTCAAAGTCTTTTCTGCTCCTCACCCTCCACCAGTGAGAAGGCTGAGGGTGCACAAGGAGCTTGGAGGAGACACAGCCAGGACAGCTGACCCCAACTGACCCAAGGAGTATCCCATACCATATACTCATGCTTAGCATATAAAGCTAGGGGAATAAGAAAGGGGGATGTTCAGTGTGATGGCATTTGTCTTCCTAAGTAACCAATGTACATGACAGAGCCCAGCTTCCCTGGGGCAGATCCAACACCTGACTGCCCAGAGAAGCGAGGCATTAATTCCTTCTTTTGCTTTGCTTATGCATGCAGCTTTTTATTTACCTATTAAACTGCCTTTATCTCAATCCATAAATTCTCAGTTTTATTCTTCCAATTCTCTTCACACCTCTCCAAGAAAAGGAGTGGGCAGCTGTGTAGTGTTCAGTTTCTAGCTGGGATTAAGCCACAACATGCATGAGTAAAAAGAAAAGTAGTCAAAGAAGTAGGTTAAAAACCAATAGGATCTTGAAATTTAGCCTACAGGAAAGATTAGAAAAAGAAAACTTACACACATGAACACTTCTTTCTACAAAACAGGGAACAACTTAGTATTTTAGAAAAAAAATCTAAATTTTCTGATTTGTGTTTATATTTCCAGCTTTCAAACAGACCTTAAGATGCCAAATATTTCATTAATTTCTCCTTATCATTATCTTCCAGGATGGAAAAAATCTAAGACCCCCTCTTAGTCTTCACTACTACTTAGATGAACAGATCCCCTCATTTCAACAGCAAAATGCTGCATGCTTCTGAAAATTAACTCAGGAATCTACTTCCTATCTGTGGACGTATCATAAAAAACTGCAAACACAACAAAACCAGCACCCTACATCAAATTTACACAGACTGCTCTGTAGGTCTCACTGCCAAAGAAGAACATACATAACGTTTCTTCTTCTAACAAATTAAAACATGGGATCAGCAACTACAGATTAAGCCATGTGGCTCCACCTTTGAACAGACCATATTCTAGACTGACTTACATGCCACTCATATGAAAATACCCTTCTGAAGTAGTAGAGTCTAGTTAATAATTGACACTGTGATAGCTAGTTGCCAGTACCTCGTAGTAGTAGAGTCTAGTTAATAATTGACACTTGCCAGTACCTCGGGCATGCTTCACTAGAACAAAAGGACCGCACACGGCTAGGACCGATACATGAAACCCACAGGGAATTCACAACCCTCTATCACGTGTGTACGTCCAGATGTGTACCTATACATCACACATCTCTGACAAAGCACAGACAGATTCCTAGCAAAACATATTTTCACAGCTGCAGGAGCTACTAGGATCTAGATTAATCCAGTGCAACAATTATATTCAACAACATATTTTCATACACACTTGTGTCTTCCATCATTCCCTGTACCTTGCCAGATGGACGCAAAGCTCTGCTCAGATGAGCAGGGATAAGTAGATGGTGCTGAATCACCAGGATAAATGTGAAGCCTCATCAGGGAAATACAGGCAGTGCTTCTTCCAACAGCTGCATTTTCAGAATCAGACTTAACACACAAATGACCTAACAACACACATTTCAGTTTCTATACAATAGAATGTACCTCAGCAGAGTGAATTTTACCATTGATAGTCTACGTTGTCATAGCAAAGAAAAAAAAGAATCACTTGTTTCAATTTGAGCTCTTTCAACCAATGCTATTAAGCTCCCCATTACCACATGTCAGTGGATTTGTCATTGAGCTGCAGAAGCCTGAAGAACAGACATTGAAAAGGATCACCAATCTACCTGTCTTTTACTCATTTCTTTCCTCTTGATTCATTACATAGCATATCCAAAAATTACTCCATAGAACAGATGAACCTCTGAGCTGGCACAGTGTAGCTATTGTTCTGATATGCTGCAATTCATCAGAATACTGGATTACTGGAATTCATAGTGGTTTTTATTCTTGATGCCTGCCTACATTTTACAGTGTAAAATGTAAAGGCAGAAAATTATTCCAAATTAATGTTAAAACTGAGAAGACTGAACTATCATGGCTTCCATTAACAGGGAATATGGGTCTTCCTGCTGTGCCATTAATTCTGAAAGCACCCAATTCTTTCAGCCAATCTGACTGATGCTACCAGAATGAGATGCAGCACCAACACAAAACCACAGAATTGCTATAAACACTGCATTTGATAGTTGTCATTAAAAAAGCACAAATGCCCTGATATTGCTCAGTATGTCAATAGCTAACTATCTACAGACACAAACATTTGTGAACAGAGACACAGTGATTTGTGAATTCTGGAAAATGCTCACATTCTCCAAACAATGGCTTCCTGGGACCAATAAATAAAAGTTCTGTGATTGCACAGCTGACATCTTTAAATTAATTCTGTGTTCAGACATTAACATCCCTTCCACAAAACTGAAGGACCATACATATATAGCAAACAGCCATAGAGTTGGATACAGCCCCATCATATTCCTCATTCTGTTATGGATGTGGGACCTAATATTTGGTTATTGAAAAGCTATATTGCACCACTTGGTATGTTGCTGCTTCTAGAAACTCATTCGCCTCTGATTCCATCCACTCAAGAGAAAATACTTCTTTTACTGCTGGGTAACATTCTCCTACTATTTTTTTAATTTTATGCCTGTGTGCCCTTAGTAATGTTAGTTTAGGCCACTTCAACACTTCTACTTTACATGGCCATAAATGGCAGCATTATACACCAGCATTTTTTTAACAAGCATTGTAACTCAGGGTTTAATTTTGGGGTATTTTTTTATTTCTTTGTTGTCTCACCTTACAGGAACACCACACAGTGATGCAGAACACACTGTAGCTTCACAGTCATAAGGAGTAGACTGACATTGCCCTTAGGTGCTGAGAACAAAACCTCACAGCAGGGTTGTCCTGCCTGCACTTCTGGCATTTACTGCCCATTGTTCAAAGTTATCCCAGAAAAAAAAAAAGCAGTAGCAGATATAAGCTCCCAAATTAGAGGTGACTGCAGAACAGCCTCACAGCCTTTCCCTTAAGTTTGCCAGCAATCAGGGCAGCCAGACATCACAGTGTAAATAGATGTCCCATGCTGTTTTGAAGCTGCTGTAGTCAAACAGAACACCCAAAATGAACAAACCCCATCAGTGCAGAAAGGCTTACATACCATGGATAATCCTCCTGAGTCAACAGCAAGCTGCCTCCTTGGTCATAAGACTAATTATCAGTTATCTGATAAAATTAGTTCCAATAACACTGCATGCAAAGTAACAGAGGAGAGTGTTTGGCTCTGTACAGGAACTGGTGTAGAAGCATGGTAAGATCCACAAGGGTCCAGTGAGACTTAACAGTAAATTATTACCAGTACCCATACTCTTATATTGGTAGCTCCCTAAAGCAAGTCACAAGAGTGACCTATCACTGATTTGAGTCTAAGGAAACCTATATAATCATTGTGATAAAACCTGCAGAGAAAACATTAAGTGACCAACTTCTAGCTCAAAATCTCATTTATAGTATATTTTAAACACCTACCTACATTATTACAAAAACAAGGCTCAGTGAGAATAGGGTTACCTTTTGAATACACCTCTCCTAAAGGCAGGATCTGCACAGGCAGCTTGTGAAAATACGATCATTTAATTTGACTTCAGGCATCTTTACAGTCCAAACTTGCTCTAACAATAGCTTTCACCTCCTGTTACTTTGAGGCATTTTCACCTTTTCTAAAGCTCTGTTCAAAATGCATTTTAATTCTTAGGATAACACACTATTTCATCAAATTACACAGACAGCTTAGCCGTTGTCTATAACATAACTCTTTCTCCTCCCTATAAAATCAACACTGATAGTCTAGAAGGGAGGGAGGAATCCATCAGTAGGACCACTGCTGGAATATTTAATCTCTAATTCTGGAGCCTTCCCTGCATTATCAAGTGGCCAGCTTTTTGTAACACACTCAAGCACTAGGAGCACTCATCAATGAACTGACGTTTAGAATAGAAAATGAAAAGTCAGAATTCCCTTTCTAAACAGTGACTGAGGAGTAGAACAAACAACCACTAAGGCATACCTCTCCCTTTCTTGCTCTCCATCTGCCCTTGCCGTTTTTTAGATATAAAAATTATATACTAAAACATGTATCCAGTGTGTATGTATACAGCCAGGGGTACACAGAGAGTGCACACATTGCCCTCTGCTGACCAGAGTCCAATGCAGTCCAAGTGTTCTCCAACATACACACACTGGGGTGACACAGGTGAGCTCCAGCAACTGCTGGACAGGCCTGTACCAGTGTGTGTGTCAATCCCTGGGGTAAGAGACACCTCCTGCAAGTCAGAAATCACCAAGGCTCTTTCAGAAACAAGTTTTAAGGTCTGGGGTTTCTTTGCTGTTTTTCTTCCTATTTGGTGATACAGCTGCAGAATTGGGGGCAGGAATCAAATCAACCACATATGCCAGTTGCTTACATACCATCACCTAAAGCTCTTGCTGATTTACACTGCATTTGTCAGCATTCTTTTTCCTCACAGTTGGGCGTTTTAATGAAATACCAGGGAGCTGCAGAGAGGATAGAAGTGGGGGAAGCCAAGCAGGAAAACAGAACTGAGAGGCACTGACTACTACTTCCAGGTTATCTTATTTGCAAGTCCTTCCCTCTACTATTTCTTTCAGCATGAATGCATAGAAACATCAATCAGAAGAAGATAAAACTAACATCTCTCTTCTTCATCCCCACAATAAATAAACTCCTTTTAAGTGTCCACTTCTATGACTTGAGGGGGAGAATCACTTTAGACCAAAGTTTAGAGACATACTCTAGACTGAAAAAAGTACAGAATATTTTTTAAATTAGGAACCAGCTCAATAAGTTCAACTAAGCTTATGGAAAATCCACATGTTATATTAAGAGTCTGTAGACCACCTTTCTGACAGTGGCTGGCTATAATGTGCTACATTTAAGAACCTACAAGTGGACATAAAAGAGATGCAGACTGGGGTTCTTGAACTGTGGAAAGAAGAAAGATTTCTGCTATTGCTATACTCACCCAAGGCCCAGTAAGATGCAGTTTCCAAAGGCAGAGCACTACTGTAGAGAGCATGGATATACATGAGGTGAATCATCAGCTCAGCCAGGCACCACCAAAAGAAAATACGAATTATGCCCACAATTAAGATGCTGAGATTGGTCTTCACACTGAAAGCTTCTTGTCTCCTCATCTAAAGAAGAAATCCAAAAAGGTTACCTGGCAAAAAACTGACCATTTTACTAAAATACTCATCCTGGGAACTTTTGACTACACCATTTGGAAATTCCTCACACACTCTTGAGGGAGACTAGTCTCCATTCTCAATCTCAGCAAGCAGTGTTAACCAACAAGAAGACAAACGTGTATGCACATTGCAACTAACTGTTGTAAAAAAGGCCAACTGCTGTTAACCTGAACAAAATCCAGACATGAGACTTTAACTCCTGCAACTTGACCTCTGGAGATAATATAAAAAGATTAAAGAAACTACAGCTATGAAGAAGGTTTTCCAAGCAGCAGCCTTCCAAACAGGAACAATGAGTGCTTAGTCTTAAAATATCTCCAACTTCTACCAGCTGCAGAGAATCGATAACTGAGGACAGTTCTTAATTTTTCTCCCATTGCATTGCCAAAGTCAGGAAGACCTACAGAACGTGCTGAGAAAATGGAAGTGCAAGTTAATGCAGTTGACAGGCTTCTCAAGAGGCTCCAAAATCTTAGACTGCTAACTGCAGTAAATACATTGGCATATTATTGCACCACCTTTCCAAAATAAAAGAGAATAGAATCAAAACCCAGAAACATAGGATTGCCTAAAAATTCAGTCATGCATTATACATCCATTATTGTGTGCAACATTTCCTTCTCCAGTCTGTAACTGGCCACCAAAAATGCACATACAAGAGAAGTAACCAACTCATCTGCTATTACACTCTTTGGGTCACACAGCAGTTCACTGTCTCCAGCTCCAGAATTTCTGCTTTCCAGTGTGCTCAGCAGAAACCCTCATCCCAGTCTCAGCTTCAGTTAAGGGGTTCTGAGAGTGGTCTCTTCCAACAACATCAATAAAGATTCTCTTTGTATTGTGCATTTTAAATCAACTGCTGGGAACTACATCCTTTGAAATCCTTTTCTGATCTCCTTGGCCAAGGTAAATACCCTCTGCTCAGGTAAGAGCTCTGACAATACTCTTCAGAAAACACATTAGGGTTGTTCAGTTTGTTCCATCTTCTTCATGGTTTTAACCATGCATATCTGTACATATTTAAGAAGAACCTTCTGCAAATACAGACATATTATTCTCAATCTTCCTTTTTCTTCTTACACCAAGAATACATGTGCTCTTTGCATAGTTCTTTGCTAAGCTATATCAGGTGAGCTAAGTTTCAAAGCAAGGCTCCCACAATTTTTCTTATCAGCTATCCCCAAGCTGTTTTCAGCTTGGGAGTCTCATAGGTCTTCTGAAACCATCCTTGGAAAGAAAGTACAACTGTCCCTCTCCTGGTGTACAAGGATTTAGGTGGTATTTAACACACTTCAAAAGCTACAAAACAATAATTAGTGAAAAAAAATATTATCTCAGTTTCTATGCAAGTCTATGTGGACTTTTCCCACAATTTCCAGCCCAAGATAACATCCAACCTTGCATCTTCCAAAGCAAGTGAAAGCAAATGAGCATATGACTTTTCACTCATAGATCCACCAGAATCTAGTTTCACTTTCATAAAGTCCAGTATTTGCTTTGGCTTCAACAGAAAATTCCCAAATATAAACAGAAGAAAGCAATCCCTAAGCTTCTAATCATAAACTGAAAAAGCAGTTTTATGGTTTGAAATGTTCACTAATCTACTTTGACCCAATAATTTTAACTATAGACATAACAGGTTGTGATACCACTTTTACTCAAGTATGTAAGAAAATATGGAAAGCAATAAAGGATGAAAACATGGACTTTTCCCATCATATAAAAAGCAGGCTTAAAAAGAAGCCTGCAAGGGACTAAGGAAAGCATTCACTACAGTTTGTAGGTCTTACATTTTAAACAAGTTGAAGCAAAGTGCTCCTAGTAAGCCACCAGCTGTTTTCACATCAATGTGAGGAGAAACTGGAGTTTTCAGGAACTTTTTCAGGAACTCCCAATACAATCTACCAGCTTTCTGTGGCTCTGAAATCCATTTCAGAGTTAATACCAAGCTTATGATGAAAACATTAGCTTTATTTCACCTGATGAAGACAAAAAAAAGTCCAGAAGCTGCATGCTAAAATTATGAACACTCTTCCAAATGTAATGAAGCATGTCACTGGCTCCCTGGTTGGAGGGATGAATCTGATGTCAGACAAAAGCATCCTGTGAAGCAGAAGAACTTGGGGAGGCAGGTTTGTGTTAAAAGCTGATCTACAGGACACTACAAAAATTCTCATAATTACTCAAAATTGTAACATTCCCATAGTATTATTTCTTGATTTTATAATTATGTGGAAGACAGCTTTAGACACCCAAACAACAACCACTGTTACCTGCTTACTGAATTCATCAAAATTCACGAGGGGTCCATTGTGGAATGTAGGATAGTAAAACACATAAGCCAGCATCCAGGGGAATGAGTGGGATGCCTTCTGGGCAGGTCCATGCCAGCAGTACTCCAGGCTGAAGCTAGTGCAGAAGAGGCAGCGGACAGACACAGTGAAGAGCAGCAGATAATATTCATTTTCAGTGTCATACCATTTTCTCTGCAAAACAAAACAAAGCCAGGTCATGATGGTGCAACGCTGTGTTTTCTCAATGGCAAGGCAGCAATGTCTAGTCAGATCTCAACTTTTGGGGTCAGCAGCAGCAGGAAGAAACTAAAGCCAATAGCAGTGGGAATGAATCTTAAGTGAACAGCATTAAACACATGAACAACAAGCAATGTCTTTTGATGGAAAAAGGCCCTCCATAGCTACTGCAGCCAGCACAAAGGGACAACAGCTTGATTTCAGAAACATGTTAGGCTGTGAGGTACCAGGACAGCAGGAGAGTTCTTCTTACATAAATGAAACATTATCTACCTCAGATTTAGACCAGTACTACAATATTCAAACCAGCAGGCAACACAATTAACAGCCAAGGGATTACTAGGGCTGAAGCTAGATGTGAAGAGAATCAGTCACTCCTGAGACAACTTAAGGCTGGAAAAAGTGTTACTGAGCATTTATTGATACTTTGACACTTGGTATCACGCATGTTGCCAGCAACAAAAACCTATCATCACAAAAAACTTGGAAACATCAGCAAATGTAGCTTTTTAGACTGCCATTTTGTATTGCACTGGGCCCTCTCCTCAGCAGAGCAAACCACAAAACTGACCACAGCACATAAACAGATTCTACACATTCATTCCCCCTCTCTGAACATCAGGGCAACAGCCCTTATAACCAATGTCCTGTTTTTCTCATTGGTCCAATAAAATACAGCAGGACACTTCTTCACAACTGGTCAACAGTTTTTCCATATCTGTACTACCCAGAAAAATACACTAGATGAAGAGTAAAACTGAGCTTGCTTCCAGCTAATTGATGCGAGTAACTCATTTGGTACAAATCAAACTGTAGGAGAAAATCTCCCCCCCTGCAGAAGTCACAGTCACCAATAAGTACAGACATGCTTAACTGAGTAACTCCAGGATACAAACCCAAAACCCAGCACCTTAAATTGGCATGATTAGAGTTCCAATGAAATGTGTTTAACAGAGCACTAGTAAAGTATTGTCATACTCCAGCTCTACTGAATACCACTTACACATAAAGGAACATACTTTTATTCCAATGCACTGGCCACCATGATAGAAAAATGTGACTTTAACTTGAGCAGCTCCAGCATGAGTCACTGCAGTGCTACTGCTTAGGATTCCTCAAACCACCCCTGCGTTTATCAACTGAAGGGACAGTATGCTGCCATGGAGATAGATGCCATTATGGACAACCATCACCATAATTAATTTGATGCTTAATTAGTCCTTCTCACATTACCTTGGTTTCTTCCACGGCTGGTATGCGTAAAGTGGACAGAAGGATAAGGGAGCACAACCATGTCAGGAGTGACAGCTGAAATTGAGCCACAGCAAAGGAAATAGCTGCATGTAACAAAATGACAGCAAAGCCCTTGATTCCCAGTAACAACCAGCAGGCAGCCATTCCATAAACCATCAAGCACCATGGTTTATACTGTCAGAAAAAGAAAAGTTAACAATCTTTTAGTTTAATTATTTCTAAAGAAAAAAGGCACTCAATACCTGTGCTGCCTACACAGGTTCTGCAGTAGAGACAAATATACTCAACAAGGTGAGGAACACAGATGAAAAAACACAGAAACCCAACTGTATCCCTAAAAGTGAAAGGGAAGGTGTTTCTGTAGTAGCATCACATGAAAACCAGAGCCTCCCTAATTTGAGGGAGAGCATAACTTCTTCCTTTCCTTCCCCAGACTAGCAGGTGTGACACCACACACAGATAATTTCCCACAATCATACAATCATTTGGAAATCATGCCAAAACCCAAGCAGCTATCACTTTACATACTTTCCTCATAAAGGAACAACTGCACCCTTCTTATGTGTACAAGTCAAACAATGCTGTTTAATGGCTTACAACAAGGCAGAGGCTTTTAGATGTTGGAGGCTGAAGTCTCCAAATATTAAGGCAACCAACTGCCACGCATAATTCACACCACAGGATGAGATTTGTTACTGTCAGTGGCCTCACTGCAGAGCTTCCCATGTTCACAGTAAACAAACCCATCAGAAACTCCCCACTGTGAAGAAAATGCCTACATACCTTCTCCACCAAGAGCCTGGACACTTGTGATACCAGCAGGTGACCAGCCAGAAGCCAAAGTATACGTTCCCTTCCCCATTCAATCCAGTAGCTCCACTCAAAGTCCATGGGGTCCTGTGGCATGAAGAGAACTGGTCACTATGCGTATCGGGCCATAAGGGACAAACAAATACCTCCGTAATAAAGTTGCTGTGTGGTACCCAACAGAACTCCCACATCTCAGGAACACCATTTTAGCAATCCAGTTGGATCACTTACAGAAGGGAATTCAGCACCATTTTCACTTCCAGTGGGGCAAAGTTCAAGAAAATAGAGCTTTACATGGTGTTGCGCCTCCTCAGCCTCACACTGGTGCTGAAGCTGAGCAACTTCAGCTCTCCTGAGGGATTCTGAGAGCAACTCTGCTCTGCTTTGGAAAACCAAGGACTTCAGTTGAAAGGTACTTTGCTGGAAGAAAAGTTTAACTCCCCATTTCAGCAAAGTTTAATTGCAATTAGATGGAGTTAGGTCAGCTGGAATTACTTATGGCAGGAGATTTTTTATCTAAATTAGGTAAGAGGGATCAGCCAGTAGCCCCTTGTCCAATACAGAGCCTCACTAAAAGTTCATGTCAACTGCCTTAAAGGTTTCTAAAAAGCACATATCAAAGGTCCACTACCAGATGTGATGGCAGGACAAAACACAAAACACTTACACAGACATGCATTCCTGCTTTTGTGTAAGCAATCCTCAAGATTAGTTGCATTATTTGCTTTTGACCTCACACACTTTTGAAGAAATGCAAGCAAGGGGAGGTAGGGATGCAGGTTTTTTGTTTGGTGTAGAGGACTGCCAGTTTTATTACTATTTTGTGGGGTTTTTTTAATACCAACTATGTTTCTTTAAGACCTTACACCTTAAAATCTGTTCTCCTCTATGCTGTACTAAAGGCCAACCAAGAGAAAAGCATGTTAATTGACATTTAGCATTATCCAAATTACCCAGTAACAAGAAAAAGGGGGAGAAGACTGCAGGAGGTGTCAAGGTTGACCAGAGTTTTAAGGCCAAAGAGTAAAATAGAGGGTTATCAAGATACGTAGCAAAGGATAAACACTTAAGCCAGGGAATCAAGAAAAGGAACAGAATTTTGGTTATGATTCTTAGATCCAGACAGATCCAGACACATCCAGCCAGTCTCCCTTCCTCATCAGAAACATCAGACTAAAATTAACTATAAATATCCAAATCTGCATGTTACTATAAACTCCTAAAGCTAAATCAGAAGCCTGGATGCGCAAAGGGCACGGAGGTATGATTATTCCCACAAAACTAGATGCTGTCACCCCTCCTACCTTTTTTAGCCCTCGAAAGAGAGTTCCTGGGTCCAGCCCAAACCTCCTGTCCATTGCAGCTTCATACTCTGCAGGGAAGAGCAAATCTTTGATAAGGACACAGCAACGAGAGCAGAAAGAGTCAGGGGAGGGTCCTTTGCTGCTCAAGAGCAACACCTTCCCATGTGGGCTCCACCAGTGAGGATACCCATATCCAGGGAAGGGCAAGTCACCACATCACTGCTCACTAGGTGGGGGGCCCAGCTGCATAGCTGTGCCCCACAGTAATGACAAAGCAGCTTCCCAGAACCAGTGTTTTGATTCCTGCTGGCAATGGGGACAGTAGCAGCAACCCATCTTTTAGCACACAAGACCTGCATGAATCCTCACTCGCCATTTTTCTCCCACCAGAACAGAAGCGGAGCACAGACCCAAGAGTGGCCAGTACAGCCAAAACAGGGAAAAGCTGCTCAGAGAAGCTGCCTCTAGAGCCCTTGCCACCACATTTTGCCACTTCTGCAGAAGACTTGCTGGGTGCAAGACCATGGGTGCACAGCTCTGTACCCAGTTATAGGAGTGGAAGGAGTTATACAGCACTCCTTCCACTGCTCTGCAAATGCCTTTCTGGCACTTCTGTTCTTTCCTTGAGTGCTTCCAAGAGCCAGGTAGAGTCATTAATGTAGAACCTTGTTGATTAAGGCCTAATAAGGTGCAATATATACTCCCTGCAAAGCCTCTCTAACTTGTTATACTTTTATAATACAACCTTTATTTCCATTTAAATACCAACGTGCTATAACACAGCTTCTTTTCACCTACAAATTGTACTTTGTTTAAAATCCCACTCTGCTCTGCAATACACAGCTCCAAACCAAGCCACCACAGCAGCTACCAAGAGATTACACAAGGCAGAGGTAGGTGTTTGGAAACAAGCTGACCCCAAAGTTCTACAGACAACCCAACTGTTGCTGAGTCCTGAACTCGGCACTGGAGCCCCAGAGCTCTAGGCAGGGAACACCAAGTTGCCCTAGGGTCTCTCCAGGTTCAGACCCTGACAAGTACCATCAGAAGGCAGAGCTGTTTCTGAACCACCCACCTGCAAGGAGCTCTTGGTGACTAGCCAGGGAAAACAAGACAATGCAAACCCAACTTCCCTGAATTTTCCCTATCTGAGTAGCTGAGCTTCAGAGGTCTCCCTCATCTTTTCCCTGACAGCCACATCCGAGGACAGCACTACCATGGGCAGTGCTAGCACTCAAAGGCAAAAAAGCCCTGGGACAAAGCTCTCTGCTCAGGTGGCATCTGCCTACTGCTTCCTCGCATAGAGCAGGTCGCATAGAGATGGGAAGAACACCGGGGCTCCTCGCACAGGAACAAAGTAGAAACAAACCACAGAGAACTCACACAGCGGGAAGCTGTGCCCGAGCGAGCACGCCCACGTCGCACACTTACTTCGAGACACTTGGTGCGCTTCGTAGAAAGCGTAGAGGTGGGAGCCCACGGTCAGGAGCCCGTAGAGGCACAGCTCCCAGGCCGGCAGCAGCATCGGCACGGAGCTGCTCCCACCGGCCGCCTCCCTGCGGGAAAAGAGAGGATGGGAGCGGTTTCCTAGCGAGGGGCAGACGGGCTCCGAGCAGCGGTACACTCGGCAGGGCACCGCGGCTCCAGGACCCCGCGCTCGCTGCCGGGCCCGGCTCCAAGGGCTCACACGGCTCACGGCTGGCGGGGCTCTCGGGACTGAACCAGGACCGGATCCCGGCTACTCTCACCGACCCGGGACAGAAGGGAGGGAAGGGGAAACGCCGCTGCCGCCTTACCTGAGGAGGGCTGTGCCGCCGGGAGAGGAAGGAGCGGCAGCGGCGGCCTCGGGCGGGCTGAGCGGAGGCTCCACGCCCGCAGGGCAGGGGCGGGAGCGGGGCGGAGCTCCCGGCCTGCGCGGCCCCGGGCGAGCGCTGGGCGGCGCTGCAGCCCGCGGGGAGCGCGCCCGTACGGGGCTGCGTGCGCGGGTAAAGGGTGTGCGCTCGGCGGCGGGCGTGAATGCCTTGTGGGGTGTAAATACACACCTGCGGGGTGTGAATGCACTTATGGGGTGTAAATACACACCTGGAGGGTGTAAATACACTTATGGGGTGCAAATACACACCTGCGGGATGTAAATACACTTATAGGGTGTGCATAGACCTACAGGGTGTAAATACACAGCTACGGGGTGTAAATACACAGCTACAGGGTGTAAATACACTTATAGGGTATGCATACACCCACAGGGTGTAAATACACTTATAGGGTGTGCATACACAGGTGAAGGGTGTAAATATACTTGTAAGGTGTGCATACACACTCAGGGTGTAAATACACTTATAGGGTGTGCTTACATAGCTACGGGGTGTAAATACACTTGTAGGGTGTGCATACACGCCCACAGGGTGTAAATACACAGCTACAGGGTGTAAATACACTTCTAGACTGACATACACACCCACAGGGTGTAAATACACTTATAGGGTGTGCATACACCTACAGGGTGTAAATATGCAACCACAGGGTGTGCATACACCTACAGATTGTAAGTACACAGCTACAGGGTGTGCATATACACCTAAAGGGTGTAAATACACTTATAGGGTGTAAATACACACCTGCAGGGTGTAAAGACACACCTGCAGGGTGTAAATACACTTATAGAGTGTAGATACACATCTACAGGGTGTAAATACACAGCTACGGAGTGCGAATACACATCCGCAGGGTGTAAATACACTTATAGAGTGTAAATACACCTACAGGGTGTGCATACACCTACAGATTGTAAGTACAGAGCTACAGGGTGTGCATACACACCCACAGGGTGTAAATACACAGCTATGGGGTGTAAATACACTTATAGGGTACAAATACACACCCACAGGGTGTAAATACATTATAGAGTGTGCATACACCCACAGGGTGTAAATACACAGCTACAGGCGTAAATACACTTATAGGGTGTGCATACACAGCTACAGGGTGTAAATACACCTACAGGGTGTGCATACACAGCCACAGCGTGCATACACCTACCCAGGGTGCATGCACACAGGGTTCTCACACACCTACAGCCTGCACACACTGCTACAGAGTGTCCTAACAGGCTTTCACAGCCTTCTCGCCCACTCTCACCAGAGTGCAAGGCACATTTATGCTGGGGCACTGTTTTTACCATTAGCACAACACAATCTGATAAATCAGCAGGTCTGAACAGCACCACCAAAGCAAGAGCATGAGGATAGAAATGCTGGTGGTGACAACTCCCTCCTGGATCAAACTGCATTTTAGAAAGGGCTTCCTCCTCCTCCTGGCACTGCAGACATGACTAATGAACCTCACTGTTCCTAGAGTTAAAAGCACACTGACTTTCCAACCCCAAAGGTTTGAGTGATCTGTGCTCATCTGATCTTGCACCAAGTGACTTTTAACCCACTCTGTTGCTGCGATCAGTGGTGCCATATATTAATGGGGGGAAAATATTTCATATCCTATTGGACATTGTTGCTAGATCTTTAAGTTCCTCTTGCGAAGTAATATTTCTGTTCCCCTGATCACCTGGCTGCACCCTCAAATTCCTGTTTCTGGATCTTTGAAAGCCAGACTTCTATCTGATACTCCAGGTGAAGGCATAGAATCAAAGAATCACAGAATCATTAAGCCTGGAAAAAACCTCCAAGATCATCAAGTCTAAACATTGTTGCTAGATCTTTAAGTTCCTCTTGCAAGGTAATAATTCTGTTCCCCTGATCACCTGGGTGCACCCTCAAATCCCTGTTTCTGGATCTTTCAAAGCCAGATTCGATCAGTCATTTCTTCAACACTTCCGGGAAGGGTGGCTCCACCACCTGAAAACCACCATGTCAACTAAACCATAGTGCTAAGTGCCACAACCAGTCATTTCTTCAACTTTCGGGAAGGGGGGCTCCACCATCTCCCTGGGCAACCAGTTCTAATGCTTAACTACCCTTTCCATTAAAAAATTCTTCCCAATGTCCAACCTGAAGCTCCCCTGCTGGAGCTTGAGGCTATGTCCTCTTGTCCTGTCAGGGGCTGCCTGGGAGAAGAGACTGGCAGCTACCTGGCTACACGCTCCTTTCAGGCAGTTGAAGAGGCTGATATGGTCCCCTTGAGCATCACAGACAGCGTAGACACCCCCAGCTCCCTCTGCTGCTCCTCACAGGACTCATTCTCCAGACTTTCCACAAGCTCTATTGCCCTTCTCTGACCATGCTGCAGTGCCTCAACATCTTACCTGTAGTGAGGGATTAAGAACTGGACACAGCTCTCAAGGTGTGGTCTCACCAGTGCCCAGTGAGGCAGAAATCCCTGCCCTGGTCCTGCTGGCCACACTATTGCTGGTACAAGCCAGAATGCCATTGGCCCTCTTGACCACCTGGCCACACACTGGCTCATGTTCAGCTGGCTCTCAACCAGCACCCCTGGATCCTTTTCCACTGGGTTGTTTTCCAGTCACTCTGCTCCAGTCACTTATCAGTCTCATCAGTATAAGGAGTTGTCTTCCCTATTTTAACCAGACATGCATCTCCTAATATCTCCAATAATTATCTTTGTCCATCAGAGCCTATGATAACCTTGAACAATTTTTGCCTTTTCCTCAATTTTTCTTTCTGCCTCTCTTTGCCAGAGAATGACTCACCTCCAGTTTATGGTGTCAATTGTGATAGCCCCTAGAGATATTAATTGCATTTATTCTGTGGAACTGCTGTAAAATCTCAGGGTTAGGAATATTCTCCTCTATGATGCCCAGATGCTATTCTCTGATGACAGTACTCCCCCAGTCTTTTGTCCTCATCAGTTTAGTTAGTACATTACCCACCCCCTCCCCCCTGCCAAAAAAACCTGACAACAGACTGCATAACAGCACCAAAGCAGCAGTCCTGAACTTGTAAAAACATTTCCAAAGTACTGCAGCTGAGTTACAGCCACTAAGGGTCAGCAGAGTTTGTTTTCCCGCAGTTTTGTGGTTTCTGGTCATCTGTCTGAAAGCCGGCACAGACACCAGGCCCTCTAGATGGCTGCATAACACCAGCAGTATGCCAGCTGCAAAAACGGAATAGGTATAACAAAGTATAGATTTTACATCAAGTTACTCTGAAAAGGACATATTTATCACTAGTTATGTGGTGACATTCAAAAGCCCTGTATGGACCAGGTACCAGCCACCCTTCCACAAGGGTCACTGCCAAGCCCAGTGAGCAGGAGCACTGACAAACTTGACAACAGCCCCAGCTGGAAGATCTCACTGTCTGGAATTCTACATTAGATTTTTTTCCCCCCCACCTTTATTGAAGCCATTTTTTATAATACAACAAGTCGAGTCTCAGTGAAGGAGTTTGTAAGAGTAGCTGTAAACTAAGCTGTTGAAAATCACTAGCACAAATACCTATGCATTGACACAGCCCTCACAATTTTAACCAGGTACCAGCCACCCTTCCACAAGAGTCTCTGCCAAGCCCAGTGAGCAGGAGCACTGACAAACTTGACAACAGCCCCAGCTGGAAGATCTCACTGTCTGGAATTCTACATTAGATTTTTTTCCCCCCACCTTTATTGAAGCCATTTTTTATAATACAACAAGTCGAGTCTCAGTGAAGGAGTTTGTAAGAGTAGCTGTAAACTAAGCTGCACAAGCACAAATACCTATGCATTGACATGGCCCTCACGATTTTTGATGGCATGAATGAAAAGCAAGTTCTACTACTCCTATAGGCACTGACAGGCAGCAGTGGAATCTGCAAAAACTCTAGAAAAATGGCAGCAGAAAGTCCTATTTGTCATTTGAGCAGCAGGGAGGTAACAGGTATTATGTGTCTCTTGCCCTGTGTCTCAGCAGCTACACAGGCCTGGCAGCCTCTTCAAAGCATATGCCCTTTGAGAAGAAAGCAGTGTTACTCTGTGTACACATGGCAGCTTTCTCTGAGGCCAAAATTAACAATCAGCCTTAGGCTTAATGATGATTTGTGATGGCAGAGATAATTTCTTGGTCAAAGTCCGGAGCATCTCTTCTGTTTGAAGGTTTGTACTGTGCTTACCCATTTCCAGAATGGCTGCAGAGTGTCTTCCCCCCACCTCCATGAACAGAGGGTCAGACATCTTGCAGATTGTGTCAGGCATCACTAGCAGAGAGTCTGTCCCTAATAGATGTTCATGTCCCCTTTTTTAACTTCTATCACTTCTGAAGCTGGCATAGCACCTGAGTTGTTCTGTACTGTAACAGGTAAGTTAAACTGTAAAGTTCAAATGCCATTTGGTCAAAGTCTCCATTTCTTATGTGGCAGGTTGAGATGTGGTTATTAGAAACTTAAGCAAAAAAAAATCCAGAATGAAAAAGGACACAGGTAACAGGAGGCCTTTAAAAGAGGCTCTTACCTTTGCCTTTCTATGCAAGGTGAGCTTTTACAAAACTCTTTAAAATCATAGAATGGGTGAGGTTTGAAGGCACCACAGTGTGTCATCTGGTCCAGCCTCCCTCTTCAAGCAGGGTCATCCCAGACCACATTACACAGGATTGCATACAGACAGTTCTTGA